GGATATGGACAGGGTAGACAAATCAATGAGCACAACACAGGGTTTGGATAGGGTAGACAGAACAATGGGGGTGGGGGGTATAGACAGGGTAGCAAATCAATGAGTCAAACATGATGTACATTGTATGGACAGATCAATGATTCAAACATGATGTATGGACAGATCAATGAGTCAAACATGATGTATGGACAGATCAATGAGTCAAACATGATGTATGGACATATCTATCAGTCAAACAATGGGGAGGGGGGGGTATAGACAGGGTAGCAAATCAACGAGTCAAACATGATGTATGGACAGATCAATGATTCAAACATGATGTATGGACAGATCAATGAGTCAAACATGATGTATGGACAGATCAATGAGTCAAACATGATGTATGGACAGATCTATCAGTCAAACATGATGTATGGACAGGATAGACAGATCAATGAGTCAAACATGATGTATGGACAAATCAAGGAGTCAAACATGATGTACATGTATGGACAGATCAATGAGTCAAACATGATGTATGGGCAGGGTGGACAGATCAAGGAGTCTAATACTATGGTATGACCAGGGTGGACAGATCACTGGGTCTAACACTGGGGTATGGACAAGGTAGACACATCAATGAGCTTAACACTTGGGTATGGACAGTGTGGGCAGATCAATAACTAGGGTATGGATACATTAGACAAGAGTCTAAGGCTGGAGTTTGGACAGGACAGGATAGACAGATCAATTAGTGAAACACTAGGGTATGGACACAGTAGACAGACTAATAAGTAGAACATGATGTATGGACAGGGTAGACAGCAGAAGAATGGACAAGGCTATAGTAGACTGAGTATTTGGAAATTGATATAACAAATAATATGCTGTGCACAATAGCCATCGTCGTTCATGCTTATCTGAATCAAGAAATGCTTGACTACAACAATAAAACATAAGTCTGTATATAAAATACCAACAGTTCTCACTTCATTAAATTCAACTTAGTAGATTTTTTTATTCAATTGACAAATCCGTGTGGATATATTAAACACTTGAAATGAATTTAAGTAGACCGTGAGAAAAAAGACAATCGTGTAATATTTACAAGATAGATTACAACAACATATATTGTATGTTAGGAATATATCAACTTGTTATTGTCAATAATTGGTGAGCTGTAACCAAATCTATGTTGATTTTTTTTATATACTTCTTATACTAGTACACTGAACAGTTTTATTATCCAAACAGCTGTGGCAGAGTATGCCTTCTCTAGTTCAATATTCATTAACACTTACAGAGGTGTTAGATCTTCGAATCAATTACCTCATTGGGGTATTAAAATTACAATGTATTCAAAATTTAGGACAAAGAAGCCCATGTATTACTGAGATATAGGCCAGTCATTTTAATTATAGTATCAATCTTTTGTTAGTGGTTTTCAAGGAGTTGAATGATCAGGTACTTTAACTACGGTAACTACATGTCTGCATGGTTTGGTCAACTTGTTGTAAGAGGCAGGGTATGCGTACTTCCCAGAATACCTTATACAACCTCTCAGACATTTTGGGGAGGGTTGGATGGCCGAATGGTTAGCACGTGCGTGCTGTATCATAAGGCGTGGTTTCGAATCCCCGGTCGTACGTGACAAGGAGTAGGGTTGCCTGTCCAACCTCGTGGGTTTTCTCCGGTTTCCTTCCACTGCTAAAGACCGCTACGCGCAAGCGAATTATTGAAATAAAATAAAACCATGTTAGTCCCAAAATGACCTAATTTGTGTCGAGTGGATGTTAAACCCATTTCTCTCTCTCTCTCTCAGACATTTTGGAACCTGACTAAGCTCAAAAATAATTTGTGTACCAATTTGGGTAAATTTGCCAGTATATAACTTTGAAACGGCACACCTTCATGTATACATGCAATATGCTTGGACAATGACACATTCAAGAGAGAAAGAGAGAGAGAGGGTTTAGCCTCCACTCGACAGAAACTAGGTAATTTCGGGACTAACATATGGTTCAATTTTATTTCAATAATTCGCTTGCCGTAGGGGTCTTTAGCAGTGGGAGGGAAACCAGAGGACCTGGAGAAAACCCATGAGGTTGGACAGGCAACCCTAGTCATTGTCACGTACAAACGGGGAATCAAAACCACACCACTTGACTCAATGACAGACCTTATAATTTCACATACACATGTTAAACCACTAGACCACCCAACCGCCCTGTACACATGCAAGAGCAACCTACCTGTACATGTATTATGTATTTTACAAATTAAATTTTAAGTCTTGATTAACAGACACGATATGCCATGTTTTTTTTTAATGTTATCATAATCATGTACCATGTTTTTTTAATGTTATCATATATACGGGTAGGAAACAGTAACCAGTTTCTAGAACAGCCAAAAACATTAAGCATGCTATTATTTGTAAACAAAAGCATCAGAGGGGGACTGATCAAGAAATTAAAACCAGTATCTATATTATCATTTATTGATCAGATACTGCCACATTAACTACCAGTTCACCATATATACCTGGTGGTAGTGCCACTTTAACTATACTTCACAAAGAACATCTCCTTGAAGACTGTAGGTAAAGACTTGGATTTGACAATCATTATTAACTTATGTTTGGATATACCTTACACAGAATTGTTATTTGACATTATAGAAAGTCAGTTTAAAAAGAAGTATTGATAACAGAGCGTGAGAATTCACCCACGCAACATGAAGTAGTTAAAAGACGGTAGTTTTATAATAGTTGTAAACCTGAGGTCAGCCATATTATCTCCACTCTTCTCAAAAAAATATAACATAATTTTGTCTATTATAAAGTACTAGTTCAATACAATGTATAGTTGTTTAAAGTAAAGAAAAAAACAGGCTGGGAAAATATGAATCTTAGTTTTGAAGGCTAACAATTTTAACTCATCTTTTATTTGAGAACAGATTAAGATCAAATATATGAAATGAAAAACATTAATAATGTCTCTTTTCAACAGAGAAATAAAACCTATATAACAATATATTTTCAATTACTCTAGCACAAATTACACAAAAAAAATAAATATGGTTGAATACTCACAAAGAAATATTTTGTTGAGAAAAGATCAAATATGGGAAAATATGGTTTTTTTTATATAAATCAAAATGATTATTATAAATTCATACAAATACAAATAAATATTATACAAATTTGAATTTACCCACTGTTTCAAAGAAAGGTATTTCAGCCAGGTTAATTATATTGTGTGAAAATTGGTCTATAATTTCCTATAGATAGATAGATAGATAGATAGAAATGGGGTTTAATCTTTTTATTTCAATAATTCACTTGCGCGTAGGGGTCTTTAGCAGTGGGAGGAAACCGAAGGAACCGGAGAAAATCCTTGAGGTTGTCACATACAACCGGGGAATCGAAACCCCGCCAATTGACTCAATGACAGACCGTATGATACAGCGCGCGCGTGCTAACCATTCGGCCATCCAACCCCCCCTATAATTTCCTAGATTTAAGGAATGTTTATGGGTCTAAAAGTAGACCCCCCGCCCCCTTACTCTGATTGATTCCTCCAGGTTAGTTTTTCTGTGAAACTTGTACTTTGGTTGATAATTTATGCCTGGTAACCTAGATTTACAGAAAGTTTTAGGTGTTAAAGAGACTCCCCCCCCCCACTCTCTCATGATACCATAATTAACTGCACATGAGAATAGTTAGAAATGGTTCTTCTGTACTATTTGTTCCATTTAGTTCTTTGTGAAAACAGATGAAGAAACTTGAAGAAAAATAATATTTGTAACTTTACAAATGGAAAAATGGTTAATTTTCTACATAAAATGAATGTTTTAGAGAGAAAAAAACCACTTAAATATACATTCTGTCAGATTTAGATAAAGAGCTGACCATTCTTGCAATAATAGTTCAAAAATAAAATAATTTAAAAATATACTGAAAATTTCATTCAAATTACTTTATTCTGAGCAAAGTTATCACCGATTGAAGTTTTGACGAGATGTGGCACATATTGCTAATTGTCATAGCAATGTTACTTGTTAATTGAGACTCGCTTCTCCATTTTTAAATTAAATCATTAAATGGGGATCACATTTCTCTGCCATCCGATGATCTAGAGAGTTCAACTGAGGCTTGACATGTGAATAAATGTCTAAATAATAATTTATTTGTAGCTAAAATAAAACCTTCAATAGACAGATTAGCTTTTGCATAATGCATCTTTAAATCAGTGGTATATCTAGAGAGCGAGCAAGGGAAGCAACTGTTCTTCCTTAGTACATTTTTTCAGAAGTGGTATTTTTTCAACATCTTTTAACTTGTTAGTTCACTGGTGCGATAACAATCTCATATCATCTCTTTTTTTGATAATTGTTTTTATGTATGACCTTGGGGGAACTTACTTTGTACACCCCCCCCCCCCTCGCCCCGGGGTAGCCTATTGAACTATCTGCTAGATCAACTTGTGTTTGGATTTTTATTACAAAATAACAATTGTGTACTTCCTTTAAAACTGTATACATATATTCCTTTTTACTTTTAAAAACAAAATAAATATGTATCATGAATTTCAAATTATTCGGTATGTGTCATGGTGCCTTTTTTTATGTGACCTGGCTTAATTTATTTGATCTGACTTGCATCATTTGAAATTTGAAAAAAAAAATCCAAAACAATATTCCTTTGTAATTGTGTTGTATAACATTTTAATCTAATATGTGAGTTCTATATTTCTGAATATTCATTCAATTACATGTTAAGTGTTCAAGCATAATTGTATCCTGGTGAGAATTTTAATGACGAATGAATTCCCGCCAAAATTACGACTGGTAGCTTAAAATGATTGGCATGACACAATTTTATACTTATAATCTCTCCTTCAACCTTCCATTTATTACCTGGCTATATGGTCTCGTGTCTCTCTTCCTGTAAAGACGCAAACATTCGTCTAGATATTGGGACAAAATGCGGTTGGATATTAAGCAAAATGATTACTCACCGTCCAAGCGAATTCAAAAGGCAATTTGATCATCGTTCTGCTATTTCCAGGACTATACGTAAAGGAATTTCCTCCTAATACAGGAGTTGATTTGTTTCCAAATGTACATGTTCCTTCAGTCGTCACCCTAGCCTGATATTCCTTAAGGCAAATCCGGAAAAGCGTTTCACACTCATCCCGGCACGTGCCCCCATTTATCCGTAAGCTTCCGTCACAGCACGTGCCGTCGGCCGTTTCACCGCGCGGATTTGAGATTGTATAAATTTGAAGTTGAAAATAACCCGATCCATAGCACACTTTGATAATCACAAGAAAAATGCAGATTTGCAATGGAAACATAGTTTGATAAAATACCTCCTCCAAAATTAACAAAATAATCAACTTTAGCTTTCATCGAACATATTAATTCCTTGAAGCTGCTGGTGCCTTGAACGCAAAAAAGTTGCGTTCTTGTTGCTAGCATTCCTAAAAGGTAGTAAAACTTTTTATATTCACTCCATTTTTCTCAACAAATTATACATCCTATATGTGTAGTGCGTTGCCGCAGTTGGGCCGTTAACTCCACAAAATTTCCACATTTAAAACAGTAGTCCATCAGTTTATAAGCGAACGTCTTCCAGACAGCTGATTCCACTACGTTTACGGTAAGTTAATTCTAACGGTAACACACTCTCGTATCAACCTCTTTATAACACGCATGCGCTTCTAAAAGCCAGTGAGGAGCGTGTGTTTGATGAACTGACGGAGTGTTGGAGAGCGTGCAGCTAATCACTGGAATAATGCCTCACAAATAATCCAATATCCGCCCAAATCAAGAAAAAAAAGAAAAAAGAATTATTCCGATAATCTTTCAGTACGTTGTACTTCTACTGAAAGACTTGTGACGTTTAGTTGAAATTGTAAAAGTTCTACAAAGTATCGACTACCTATAAAAATCACGTGACGTAATTCAGCGTACAGGTATACACAACGGTTAATAATATTATGTATGTAGATATACATGTATACTAGACTTATTATGTTTAGAGCACGCGCGCTCTGTGTTATGGAATGTACGAGCCCTAGTTTCGTGTATTTGCGTGTTCAGTCCAAGGTCGAATAATGTAAGTAATATTACGAGTGTTTCTGTGCGAAAATCTGTTCGGATGCACGTGAAGAATAGCATATCAATAAATGAATGTTATCTTGACACGCACTGGTATATTCTCCCCGTACATCAATTCAACACACGCGCACGTAAAACTGACGTCCACTTTACCTATGTTTTAATGATGAAATCTCGATACTTTTGACAAAATGTCTGGCCAATTTAAAATTTATTTATATCCCCCCCCCCCACACACTCCAAACATTTTTAAAAATAGGGCCACAAATTATTGTGCGCTTGTAAGGGATGGTGGGGGGAGGGGGTGGTGTGCATATTTAGAAACTTTTTTAAATGGCAGAAATACTTATCTGAATCGTTACTTCTTTATATACCAACGTCTTCATTAGCCCAGTCGGAGCAGAACAGTAGGACGTTAAACCCCATTTTATTTTATTTCATTTCTTTATATACCACAAGAAATCGTTGGCTTTTATTTTCACGGGAACAGAAAAATGGTATCGCGACGATATAGGCGTTTTATAGGCTAGGCCATAACCCACTAAGATATTGACAATCAATATAAGAATACTATCTCGGTAAATTGATTCATAAAAATAGGCTACTAACAGATGACGTTTAACATAGAAAATTTTTAAAATACAATCAACGGTTTATTATTATAACAGTATCAATGATAATTCATGACCGCAAGATGGCGCCCGCTAGCGTGCCATATCGTATCTTTCACGCACGTGACATTCTTCTGCTGTGCACGTGCGGTTGTCAAATCCGCGAAACATATGCATGAAATCATAGAATATATTCAAATGTTTTAAACATATGTCTGATTATATTCAATAAGTCGGGAATATTTTATGGGATAAAACTTTTATGGGTGAGAAAATGCCGGTTGTTAATTTATAAAACGTGACACTGTCAACGTTTTGGCAGAAGTTAAATATTCATGACGAAAATACATATTGTTTTCATATCAACAACAGTCAAAAAAAATTTTTGTAAAAAATCATTCGCCTATTTTTCTTTTTTTTTTCTGACGAGGAGAGCTTTCCTTTGAGCTCCAAATCGCAGTGAGACGGTCTCGGAAATCTTTGAAATCTCGCGTGCTCATTTCCCCAAAACTTAATGTTTCTTTTATCCGTCTCAAGTAATCAAGTCAGTATTCAACATGAACGTACGGAGGTTTTGTTATATAACTCGGAATTTTCCGGCGTGGTTCCCCGTTGTCATTGGTGCAGGACAAGGAAAAATGTCTAGTCCTACGGATGGGACCAGCTTCATTAGCCCAATCGGTGCAGATAAGTAGAAAGTTAAATTTCGCCTGGCTTTGATTTCAAATAATCCAGTTCTTTTTTCTTAAATTGGTTTATAATCCATACGATTATTGAAAACATACGATCAACATTTAAATTATTACATACCCCCCCCCCCCCCCCACACACACACACACACATAACAGCAATGATACATAATGTTGGTTACTGCATTAATATTTTTGTTTTACAATAATTATATCTATCACTAGTATGTATGGCCCCCGTACCTGTCTCTCAAAAGCTATATATGTTTCGTTTGATTGTTGATTGTGTGTAGAGCGATCCTCTAGCACTTTAACGATTATAAGGTTACAGTAGGAAACGTTCTATCTATAAATTCAAAACAAATAAAATAAATAAATAAATGAATAAATCGGTCAAATTCCATTTCATTGATATCTTTAATAAAAAGTTAAATTTCAATTACATTATACATACTGTATTTTTTTTTTTAAAATCCCGTATAAATACTTATAACCACAACAATATTAGCCTAGACCAAGTAACAATAAAATAAATCATTAAATTTGAACCGATCTGGCCTCGTGACTATTTGTAATATTTGAAGGTTCTGTAACAGATGTCAGTGGCGGGTGATTATACACGAGTATGATAAATTGCGAAATTTGTGAATATTATCAATTTTCTTAATCATATTCTTCTGGTGTTAATACAAGATTTCTTTTCGTTATCTTATTTTCGTCCCGTTTTAACAGGTTTCTTCTAATACTGGTCCACTGTGTCTTTCACATTCTGGCACAAAAGGGGTAATACCAAGTGACTAGCATCAGTCTTAACTTCGTAGCAAATAAGCTATTAAAGTCCATTACCCGTTAGTCGAATACGTTTGCACGGTTCTATGGAAAACCCTTGATCCAAGAAGACAGCTGATTAACAAGTAACCGACAAATCCTAATTCGTAGCGGGAAATGCCCGTGCGCTGTCGCAGTTGTGCATTTTAGGTGTGCCACTCGAGCCGCAGCCCTGCTTAATCTATTGGAATATTAACGACTCTAAGAAGACTGCCGTGACAATATTCCCGCCAACAAAATGAGTATAGGATTCGTGCTTTTTGTGGGGTGGTGGTGGTGGGTGTGTGTGTGGGGACTGGGGGGGGGGGGGGTTATAGCGGTAATTGTTTACCCAGTGATTTCTAGATTGTATTGTTTATAACAAGCTTATAATCATTCAGTAATTTATTGATGATATTATGTTATAGGTAGCTAATTATATTATCAGAAATCAGCCACATTTCCTCCTACAGGAAACTGCAAGCAGGTTGACGACAGAATCGGAAGGAACTCCACTTCTGCTCCGACAGCATCGTTCTTTTCAACACATGTCATGTCGCGTGCACATTATAGAGGCGGTATCATTAAGGATCAATTTAGTGTTAAGAGAAATGAATTGTTCAAGAAGTCGCTTTAGTATAACATGTTATTATAATCTTCGTTCATCTCTCCAGCTTTACGGTTGCCATTCTCGATCAACAGATTTATAAAATTAATATTGAAGTTTTTAATTACAACAGAGAGAGAGAGAGAGAGAGAGAGAGAGAGAGAGATGGGGTTTAACGTCCACTCGACACAAACTTGGTCATTTCGGGACTAACATATGGTTTAATTTTATTTCAATAATTCGCTTGCGCGTAGGGGTCTTTAGCAGTGGGGGGAAACCGGAGGACCCGGAGAAAACCCACGAGGTTGGACAGGCGACCCTACTCCTTGTCACGTACAACCGGGGATTCGAAGCCACGCCAGTCTACTTAATGACAGGTCTTATGATACAGCACGCACGTGCTAACCATTCGGCCATCCAACCCCCCACAAAAGAGAAAGAACGGTACCTTAGCCTTGATATCTTAGTAATGAAATGAAATGAAATGGGGTTTAACGTCCTACTGTTCTGCTCCTATACTGGGCTAATGAAGACGGGCATACGCCATACACTGTGCTATGAGGGAAATTTTGCCCGGGCAGCGGCACTATCGCCTACTCTTATATCGAATTCCAACTTTCAGGGGATCTTTAACGTGCATTCCAATATATAGACGGGACCTCGGTTTTTCGTCTCATCCGAAGGACAAGACAGCTGTCATTGTCAGGCCCTCCGTTCTGCACCACTGACAAGGGAAAACCACGTCGGAAAATCCCGATGAACTTTCTCGACCAATGCAGGGATCGAACACCCGACCTCCAGACTATCTTAGTAAAGTTGTAGACATAAATATACAATACACTACTCAATACAGCTAAGTAAACCTGATCAGACGAAAAAAAAATGTGTAAATAAATTTAAAAAGAAATACGACTATAAATCAGAGATTTAAAATAAAGGAGTTAAACCCTAATTCTTTAGATCTTAAAATAATCGATAAAGAGTTTCATTTTTTTAACTAAATGCCAAATAACCAGTTTTAGTTCTGAAAAGTTAGATATTGTATCTTCTTTGATTGGCATTTAGTTATTAACACAAGGTACAATTTTATGGATACACAATTACTGAGTTTAATACTAAGCGACGTTTCGACGAGGATACTCTCGTCTTTATCAAGCAGACGATACAGGTGTTAGATATTGTGTTAGATATTGTAATCTGGATCAGCTACTCCAACTGAATTCGGAAGCAACTTCATGAACTTTCTTAACTAACCGTGCGAGGATTCTTCTGAATTCTACAAGCGGGGACAAAACGACTACTCTCGTACAAATTAGTAAGATTGGAGAACAGCAAACGACTTGAGTAAATATTGACATTATGAGAGAAAGAAACACGGTCGTAATATCGGCACTGGTGGCACACAGTGAAATATTAGCCAAATGGTCTTAAAACTAATAATAATTGATATTTCCTACTTTATGACATGGGCGAATGGTTATAGAAAATCTTAAATACGTGTCGAATTAGTTTCAAAGACAACTCAAATAGCGCCAACTCCCCCGTATAAATTGCACAAGCCAGGCTTTTCATTTTATTATAACAATTTAGTCTTTAAAACCGCACTTAATTTTCAATGATTTTCGTGTAAAGGACAATGACATTGAAAATGTTCCAGGACCGAATTAAGAAGTTTAAAGGCCCTGAGAACTGAAAGGTTACTAAAAGTTATTTTCTTTCATATTGTGTTCTGAACTTAATAGCATTTATTATTAATAATATTTATGTTTTATATGAATGTGTGCATGTGTTCGTCATTTATTGTTTCGGAGCCCTTTTTATGGGCTCAGATGTGCCCCACCATTTACAAAATGGTCTATCCGGACAAGAAAAAAAAATGGAATGTCCTGCCTTCATATTCAAAAGACATTATGGTAA